TTATATGTGGAGAATTGTGCTTTAGGCTCGAAGGGGGGCATAGTAGAAACAGTCAGTGTCACCCAGAGTCTAGCTTACCATTTTCTCCCAGACTGGTTCTACCCACATCCACCTGATATGATTTACCTGGTTTACAGTCAGTTGGTTTATCCTCAGTCTTTCTCCTTCTTTCCCCGCATTTTGGTTTTAATTTTTAAAATGCTTGACCCTTAACATTCCACAATATCTTTTTGGCATTTACGTCTTTTTTATCAGTTTGAGTTTTTGTTTCTTCATTTATCCATACAACATATTTACTGTACATATTTCAGAAAGAATGGCAGAAATTATGGAAGAAGATAAAGTTACCCGTAAAGAAGAAATCTCTACTGCAGAGGACACATGTACTGTATTTGTAGTGGGAGAAGATGTAAAAGAGGAAATTACAGAAAATCAAGGTATGGTTGAACATTATATACATATTCATATACATATACAAATACATATTAAGAATGAAATTAAGGAAATTGATACTTAGCATTTAAAAATAAAAAAATAAAAAATAAGATTATTTAAATTTGTTTATTTTGGTATTAAATTAGATTGATTAGTCCGTTTTTGAGGCATTTTAGTGGTGGGACGTTTCCATGTTGATGTGTTTCCATAGCACCCATTACCTTCCATATTAAAGATCAGATTAAGTTTCAAGGGTACTGTTGTGAATCAAACATGCCCCTCACTTGAATTTACAACAACAGTCCCTTTAATTTTAGGATTTAAAAAAAAATTTAAGAGAAAATATGCCTTACTTGTGTTTGATATTTTATTGATTCTCTTTTTAATTTTTCAGGTGAAGTTGTCAAGATTGAAGTAGATCCCCTTTTCTCTGAAGAAAAGAGACTGAAAAAGAAGAAACTCAGAGAAAAAAGAGATACAAGTTAACCCTGTGAAGAATGTGATTATGTTGTCACTAGAGCGGGTGATCTGAAGAAGCACATTGAGTCTATACATGAAGGAGTGAGATATCCATGTTTACAATGCGTGTATGCTGCAACTACAGCACGTAGTCTTAAGAGACATGTTGAAATAAAACATGGAGAAGTAAGATATCCATGTTTACAATGCGTGTATGCTGCAACTACAGCAGGTTATCTAAAGAAACATGTTGAAATAAAACATGAAGGAGTAAGATATCCCTGCAATCAATGTGATCACGTTGCCACTAGAGCAGGCAATCTGAAGACGCATATTGAATCTAAACATGAAGGAGTAAGATATCCTTGCTCTCATTGTGAATACACTGCCACTACAGCAGGTGATTTGAAGACACACATTAAATCTAAACATGAAGGAGTGCGATATCCCTGCAATCAATGTGATCACGTTGCCACTAGAGCATGTGATCTAAAGACGCATATTGAATCTAAACATGAAGGAGTGCAATATCACTGCGATCAATGTGATCACGTTGCCACTAGAGCAGGTGATCTGAAGACGCATATTGAATCTAAACATGAAGGAGTGAGATATCCATGCGACCAATGTGATCACGCTGCCACTACAGCAAGATCTCTGAAGAAACATATTGAAAATAAGCATGAAGGAGTGAGATATCCATGCGACCAATGTGATCACGCTGCCACTACAGCAAGATGTCTGAAGAGACATATTGAATCTAAACATGAAGGAGTGAGATATCCATGTTCTCATTGTGAATATGCTGCCAATCAAGCAGGTGATTTAAGGAAACACATTAAATCTAAACATGAAGGAGTGAGATATCCCTGCGATCAGTGTGATTATCTTGCTACTAAACCATATAATCTCAAAAGACACATTCTAAGTAGACACGAAGAAGTAAAATACTCTTGTTAGCAGTGAGATTTTACCTCTACCAAGCAGTATAGCATTTGAAAATCCAAAAATAAAGGTTTGAGATATTATTTTAATCAGCGTGAGCTCACTGCCACCACAGCAGGTAGTATAAAGACACATATTATAAATAAACATTGAGAAGTGAGATATACAGTTTAAATATCATGTCATTTAAAAACACATCAAAAGAAGAAACATTTATTAATAAGTACTTTGCACTGTAAACTGTAAATTGTCTATTCTCTCGTTTATTTTGGCTTTTCCTGGTTTATCTTTTATTTCAAGCAGAAAATGGGAAATTAAAAAAAAAATGGCGGGAAATAAAATTTGGAATTTTTAAAAGCTTTTGAATATAACATGTATTGTACAATTTACATATTTCAGAGAGAATGGCAGAAATTATGGAAGAAGATAAAGAAAAGATAAAGAAATCTCTACTGTAAAGGATGTACTGTCTATGACGCGGAAGAAGATATAAAAGAGGAAAATACAGAAAATCAAGGTATGGTTAAACATTTTTTACATGTATTTTTTAGGATGATCGATTTTTGACTTTTTAAGAACTTTGGGCTCATATTCTAAAAACGGTTACCAAAACTGACTGCATTTTCAGATATTATTAAAATTTTAAACCATGTGAGATACTTTAGGTTATTTTATTTTATTAATTCTCTTTTTGAATTTTTCAGGTGAAATTGTCAAGATTGAAGAAGATCCTCTTTTCTCTGAACAAAAGATACTAAAAAAGAGGAAGCTGACAGATAAAAGAGATAAAAGTTATGCCTGTGGAAAATGTGATTATGTGGCAACTCAATTATGTCATTTGAAGACACACACCGACCAAGCTTATATTTGCTTGATACACTTCTAAAAGAGGTTTTTCAAATGCCGAGTCGTCATTAATAAGAATATTAATGACTTCAAGAAGGCCAAAAATGCGAGAACATATTTAGTTGTGCCATAGCTGATTCTAGTTTGATCGAGCCTGAGCACTGTACTGAACAGTAATTGGACCTGTTTGTTTTGAGATTGACCTCCTGTATCCTTGAGGCTGTTAGCACAGCCTCAACAGTTTGATATTCTCTTCTTACAGAACATTCTGTACTTCCTCTTTAGAGTTAAAAAACGTTAAACTTTTTGGAGTAACAGAGTTGAGGATTATTATTTAGTGGAAGTAATTAACTTTTGAGTGAAAGTTGTAAACTTTTGAGTTACAGGCTTTGAGGGCGCTTCACGCCCATCTTCTTTTTCAACTTTTAATTGTGGCTCTATCGGCGAGCATTTTCTCTTAGTTAAATATAAAACTATGGAAAAAAATTCGCGGACTTCAAAATTTATTTTAATATTCGTTCAAAAATCAAAAAATTTTGAACACACATTTTTAATATCCCAAGCATCCTAAACCTTTCCATGGGGAATTTGAGGTCCCACCAAACAGTTGTAGCCGTTTTGACATTTATTGGATACAAGCTATAATCAGTGTAAATCATTGTTTGCAGTTCTAGCTTTGTATTTAATTTAATTCAAAGCCTATTTAGCTTAGAAATATTCCAGAAAGAATGGCCGAAATTATAGAAGAAGATACCATTAAAGAAAAAATCGCTACTGTAGAGGATACATGTACTGTATTTGTTTTGGGAGAAGATGTAAAAGAGGAAAGTACAGAAATTCAAGGTATTGTAAAACATTTTATAGATATATATACATATATTTATTAAGATTGGTCGATTTTTAAAGTTTTTTAGAAGTTCAAGCCTTTAAACCCAAAAAATCATTACCGAAAAAATGTACAAACTGATATACGGCAAAAAATACAGATTTTTTTTAGATTCGGCCAAAATTTTCATTTATGGTCTTAAAAATCAGTTTTTTATCAACAATTTCATAATTTCTGAATTCAGTATTTTCATACAGATCTCTTGATACCCATATCATGTATTTTAAAGAATTTTTTACATGCATGAATTTTTGAACTAATGATTTTTTTTAATTAAGAATGATTGATTTTTTATGTTTTTTTATAAGTTAAGGCTCATAGATCTAAAATTCTTAAAATCGGCTTCTGGTTGACACTTTCAAATTGAAAAAAAAATCGTCTTTCATAAAATAAAAGTTAATATTCCAAATTTTACGAAAGGAAATGCATCTTTCAACCAACTTTTCTATTTTACCGTAGGAACACCCACTCCCCACTTGCTCTTTAAAATTCTTTTCTAAATTGTCTTAACCTGTCCTTTTTTACTCACCCTGTATATTTTTATTAACTAGCCCCACCCTGTTTCTTCCAACAATTGATAGTTGTTTATATTTTTGCTTACAATAATCTTGTATTTTTTCCCCCATGCATTTGTAAACTAACCATGAATTTAATAAAAAACAGCTAGTGGGATAGTTTATTCACTAATTAAAGGGACTGTGTATAGACATAATTTCACGTAACCCTAATTTAATAGAGTGGAGTTTAAAATTTTGAACCCTTAACAGATTGATTTGATTGGATAATCAATCGGTTGAAGAAATATTATCAAAAACTTAAAGTCAACGTTTACCAAGTTTTTATATAAAACAAGGATAGTTTATTCACTAATTAAAGGGACTGTGTGTAGACGTAATTTCAAGTAACTCTCAATTGATAGAATTATATTTCCGATTCAAAATTGTACCTTAAGAGCTTTTTTTGATTAATAAATAGTTAGATATTCAAAGTTTTATTTTCAAAATACTGATTATTCAAATTTGTGGGTTCTCTCCTAAATTGCTCGTTTCTTGGTTTAGAAACAATGCAGAAATTATAAAGCACGACATTATCTTCCGCATTCTAGATCAGATTAAGGTTTCAAGGTTGCCGTTGTGAATCAGACATGATCCAAAGTTTAAATGCAGAGTCACTTGAAATTACAAGGACAGTCACTTTTAAAAAAAAATTCAAGTTAAAATTTGCGATACTTGAGATTAATATTTTATTAATTATATTTTTTAATTTCCAGATGAAGTTGTCAAGATTGAAGTAGATCCCCTTTTCCCTGAACAAAAGAGGATTAAAAGGAGGAAACTGAGAGATAAAAGAGATAAACGTTATTCCTGTGGAGAATGTGATTATGTGGCAACTAAATCCAGTCATTTGAAGACACATATTAAAAAAAAACATGAAGGAGTGAGGTATCCCTGCGATCAGTGTGAGTACCTTGCTACTGAAGTATGCTATTTAAAGAATCACATTGAAAATAAACATGAAGGAGTAAGATATCCATGCAATCAATGTGAGTACGCTGCAACTACACCAGGTAGTCTGAAGTTACATATTGAAAATAAACATGAAGGAATAAGATATCCTTGCTCTCATTGTGAATACGCTGCCACTCAAGCAGGTAATCTGAAGATACACATTGAATCTAAACATGAAGGAGTAAGATATCCATGCATTCAATGCGAGTACGCTTCAACTACAGCAAGTGAGCTGAAGAAACACATTAAATCTAAACATGAAGGAGTGAGATATCCATGTGATCAGTGTGAATTCGCTGCCACTACAGTTAGAATTCTTAAAGTACATATTGAAAAAATACATGAAGGAGTGAGATATCCATGTGATCAATGTGAATACGTTGCCACTACAGTTAGAAATCTTAAAGTACATATTGAAAAAATACATGAAGGAGTGAGATATCCCTGTAATCAATGTAAATACATTGCCACCCAATTTAATCATTTAAAAACACATCAAAAAAAGAAACATTAATTAAGGATGGGATGGTTTCTGGTCTGAAAGGGAGGAACTATCAAGAAAAACTTAAGGAGCTAGGTCTGCAAACCCTTGAAATCAGATGGAGAAGATTTTATATGATCCAAACATTTAAGATTCTCATGGGGTTTGACTGTGTGGATAGCAGTATATGGTTTGAAACTGTTGGGAATGAGCCTTCAAGACGAACAAGACAATCTGCTTTTCAGTTGAACCTAGTTAGGAGGCAAGCAAGGATTGATGTTAGGAGCAACTTCTTCTCAAACAGGGTTATTGAACCCTGGAATAGATTGCCAACTGAACTTGGATTGGACACCATCATTTAAACCAAAGATGCTATATAGGACCACACTGTAGCTCCTGTTATAATCCTACCTGGATTTCTAGGAGTCAACATAGAAGTATTGAAGTATCGAAGAAGTAAGGAAAGCTTTGCACTGTAACCTTCAAATTATTACTTCTCTTCTATTAAATAATTCTCTTATTGTAGAATTTAATATATTAATCTTTGTTCTAATTGTATATTTTCTATATCAAAACCCAGCTGTGTTCCCCCGCTGCTCCCCTCATAATTCTTATTATCTTAAATAATACTTATATCATTTTTACCTTTTTGCATAAGATTATTCTCTGACAAAATATAACTTTGAACAAAATAGAAATTATGAACATTTTTTTAATTTTAAGAAATATCAAATATCATTCTTAACTTTCATGGAAGGATATTTGTCTTATACTATAAAAACTTTTTTTAATATTTTTTTTAATATTTGACCAAACTGTGTACAACAATTTTGTTCTCATTGGATATGCAATCTATATTTTTTTCAGATAGCATGGAAAAAATTTAAAACAAAGAGTTAAATATATTAGAGCAGAGTAAATCTTTCCATCCTCTACTGTAGCATTTTCTAGTTAGACATTTTTTCAAGAGGACTAATTTTTTTAAAACATTTTAGTGCCAATAAACGTTAATCCTAATTAACTTTTTCCATATAAAAATGTTCAAACGGACTAAATTATTTCTTTGAAAATTTAGTTTAATTGAACAGTATTTCAAATGAACTTCTTCAACAACAAAAAAATGTTCAAATGGATAAAAATTTTCTTGAAAATTTTAATGCAATTAAAAATTTTAATAGGTTATAATTTTTTTTTGGAAATTTTAGTATCATTGAACGTTCGTTCAAATGAACATATCCGAAAAAAAATTGAATTGAATGGACTAATTTTTTTTGGAAATTTGAATGCCCTTGAACACTATAGTTGAAATGAACATTATCCTCAAAAATTTTTTCTTATGGACTAATATTTATTAGAAAATATGGCAAAATGATTGAAATTCAAGAGATAGGTCAATTGAACATTTTTGTGTTCATCTATTCTTAAATGTATTCGTTTGGACTAATTTGGAAAATGCGGCAAAATGATCAAAATTAAGGAAGTTCAAATAAATATTTTATTGTTCATTTATTTGTTCGCACTATTAAGGATATTTTTCATTAGAGCAAAACATAAAAATAAGCCAATTCTAGAAGGGAATTAATGAAAAAAGCTCTCCAGGTGGTTGAAATGTTTCCTCATGGGTTTTAGTTATATTAATTTAATATTTGTTCAGAAGGACTATAGTTCATTTTAAACATTAGTCCAATTGAATGCTGGTTAAACTGGACGTTAGATCAATCATGAAGGAGTGAGATATCCTTGTTCTCATTGTGAATACGCAGCTACTGAACCAAGTAGTCTGACAAAACATATTAAATCTAAACATGAAGGGGTAAGATTTCCATGTTCTCATTGTGAATACGCTGCCACTCAAGCAGGTAATCTGAAGAAGCATATTGAATCTAAACATAAAGGAGTGAGATATCCATGCGATCAATGCGAGTACGCTGCCACTCGAGCAGATAGTCTGAAGATACATATTGAAAGTAAACATGAAAGAGTGAGATATCCCTGTTCTCATTGTAAATACGCTGCCACTCAAGCGTGTGTTCTGAAAAAACACATTGAAAATAAACACGAGGGAGTGAGATTTCCATATAATCAATGCGAGTACGCTGCAACTACAGTAATTTATCTGAAGAAACACATTAAATCTGATCATGAAGGAGTGAGATATCCATGTGATCAGTGTGAATTCGCTGCCACTACAGTTAGAAATCTTAAAGTACATATTGTAAAAATACATGAAGGAGTGAGATATCCCTGTGATCAATGTGAATACATTGCCACCCAATCCTCTCATTTAAAAACACATCAAAAAAAGAACCATGCACTGTAAACTTCAAATGATCACTTTTATTAAATAATTCTCTTATTGTAGAATTTAATATATTAATCTTTGCTCTAATTGTATATTTTCTATATCAAAACCCAACTGTGTTCCTCGCTGCTCCCATTCTTATTTTCTTAAATAATATTTTTTTTAGTTAGATAAGATAAGATAAGATAAAGTTTATTGCTAAAATAAATGTATCTCACTGTATACAGATAGAGTTTACAATCACAAAATTGATGATTATATTAACAGTACAAGTATAAAGCAATTAGGTGGAAAATAGCTCTTGGCTGTTTTGATTATTTTTTCCACCTAATGTTAGTAATAATAACAAAATATTTCAATTAAATAGATTTAAGGAGAACGATTAGAGATGAGGGTGCGAATTTATCATATGCAAAATAGTTTATACATAAATTCGAATAACTAGAGTTTAAAGTAATTTTCAGACATGTACACAACAAATCAAAGCATATTAAAACATATCTAATTAGTTTTACATGAATAGCAATTCGGTTTATAACACATTGTCCTATAATTTTCAAAAAGAGAATTTAGTAGTCTATTTTTACCTATTCTAGTCTATTAGTCTATTACCTTTTTGCATTTTATTCCCTGACAAAATACAACTTTGAACAAAATAGAAATTATGAACATTTTTTTAATTTTAAGAAATAACAAATATTGTTCTAAACTTTTATGGAAGGATATTTGTCTCATACTATATAAACTTTTTAAATATGTTTTTTTAATATTTTTGACCAAAGTGAGTACAACAGTTTTGTTTTCATTGGATATGCAATCTATATTTTTTTTAGATAGAATTGAAAAGAATTAAAACAAAGAGTTTAATATATTAGAGCAGAGTAAATCCTTGTACTGAAGATACAAGGTAAACTTTACGTACGTTAGTCCTGATGAACTTTTTCTACAAAAAAATGTTCAAAAGGTCTAAATTTTTTTATTTGAAATTTTAGTGCAATTGAACAGTAGTTCAAATGAGCTTTTTCCATAAAAAAAAATTTTAATGGGTTATAATTTTATTCTTGAAAATTCAATTTAAATTCAAGTGATAGGTCAATTGAACATTTTTGTGTTCATTTCTTTTTAAATGTGTTCGTTTGAACTAATTTGGAACATTGGCAAAGTTATCAAAACTAAGGATTTAGTTCAAATGAATATTATTTTGTTCATTTATTTGTTTGCACTAATAAGGATTTGTTCAGTAGAGCAAAACATGAGATAAGCCAATTCTAGATGGGAATTAAAGAAAAAAGCTCTCCAGGTTGTTGAAATGTTTCCTCATGGGTTTTAGTTAAATTAATAAAATATTTGTTCAGAAGGACTATAGTCCATTTTAAACAATAGTCCAATTGAACGTCGGTTAAACTAAACGTTAGATCAATCAATTATATTCCTATCACTATGTCACCTAAATCCTTGTAGGCTGCATTCCTAATGACAATCAGAGCTGTGTTTAATCAAACAATTTACTCTGGAGACATAGGAGCTGTGTTTAATTTACTCAGAAGACACTAGAGCTGTGCTCAATCAATTAATTAACCTACTCTGGAGACATTGGACCTGTACTTAATCAATTAATTTACTCAAGAGACATCGGAGTTATGTGTAATCATTTAGTTTACCCTCTAGATATTGGAGTTTTATTCAATCAATTAAATTATTTTGTAGATACCAGAGCTGAATTCAATCAACTAATCAATCCACTTTGTAGACATCGGAGCTGTGTCCAATCAATCCACTCTAGACATCGGAGCTGTGTTTAATCAATCAATCAATCTACTCTGTAGACATCGGAGTTGTGTTTAATCAATCAATCTATCTACTTTGGAGATATTGGAGCATTGTTCAATCGATTATTCTACTCTTGAGATATATAGGTGCTGTGTTCAATCAATCAATATATTCTTAGAGTTTAGATGTCGTCCTTATCATTTCAAAGATTTTTTAAAAAGTCATCTTTTTCTGAAAAAGATCAGCTGTTCATGACATCTTGAACCAAATGAGTTGATCTGACAGTGACCCAGTATAGTATGTGTAAATTAGGGAAGAGAAGATTATATTTGTACGGGGTTGTAAATTTGTTGTTGTTAATGCAAAAAAGCAAATTTTCAACCCGCCCCCCCCCCCCTCCAGCTCTAGCTAGGAGATGTGGGAAAAGTATGAGGAATATTATTTGCACAGTACGTCGAGGAAAGGAGTGGGGAGGGGTAGTATGTAGGACTGATCAATGATCATCTAACTTTTTTCTTCCCTTATCTGGTTTGGTTCTGCCCTGCCCTGTATCTTTAAGTTGTCGCTGCCTGACCTAGCTTGCAATCAGCTTGGTCTTATTTTTAAATATCCTGATTTCTCATTTTTCCATACAATTCTTTAAACTCAAAAACCCCTTCTTGACGTTTACTTCTTTTTAATCAGTGTAAATATTTGTTTGCAAATATATTTTTTAATTCATTTTATTTCACAAGACTATTTAACCTTGAAAGTATAACATGTTTTGTACATATTTCAGAAAGAATGGCAAAAATTATGGAAGAAGATAAAGTTACCATCAAAGAAGAAATCTCTACTGTAGAGGATATGTTTACTGTGTATGTAGCGGAAGAAGATGTAAAAGAGGAAAGTACAGAAAATCAAGGTATAAATATAAGAACTGTTACCAAAATTGACTGTATTTTCAGATATTATTAAAATTTTAAACCATTTACGATAATTGAGGTTCATATAATATCTTATTAATTTTCTTTTTGAATTTTTCAGGTGGAAATATCAAGATTGAAGTAGATCCTCTGTTCTCTGAACAAAAGAGACTTAAAAAGAGAAAGCTGACAGAAAAAAGAGATAAATGTTATCTCTGTGAAAAATGTGATTATGTGGCAACTCAATCCGGTAATTTGAAGACACATATTCAGAGTAAACATGAAGGAGTGAGATATCCTTGTTCTCATTGTAAATACGCTGCCACTACAGCAGGTGGGCTGAAGATTCATATTGAAAATAAGCATGTAGGAGTTAGACATCCCTGCGATCAGTGTGAATATGTTGCTACTAATGTACAGAGTCTGAAGTTACACATTGAATCTAAACATGAAGGAGTGAGATATCTCTGCGATCAATGTGAATACTCTGCCACTAAAGCAAGGTATGTGATGTTACACATGGAATCTAAACATGAAGGAGTGCGATATCCATGCGACCACTGTGAGTACTCAGCTACCACAGTAGATTGTCTGAAGATACATTTCAAAATTAAACATGAAGGAGTACGATATCCCTGTGACAAATGTAATTATGTTGCATCGAAATCCAGTCATTTGAAGACACATATTCAAAGTAAACATGAAGGAGTGAGATATCCATGCAAGCAATGTGATTACGCTGCCACAACAGCAAGTAATCTGAAGATTCACATTGAAACTAAACATGAAGGAGTGAGATATCCCTGCGATCGATGTGATCATGTTGCCAATACATCAGGTGATCTGAAGAAACATATTGATTCTAAACACGAAGGAGTAAAATATCCTTGCGATCAATGCGAGTACGCTGCCACTAAGGCAAGTAATCTAAAAATTCATATTGAATCCAAACATGAAGGAGTAAGATATCCTTGCTATCAATGTGAATACACTGCCACTAAGCCAAGAAATCTGAAGAAACATATTGAAAATAAGCATGAAGGAGTGAGATATCCCTGCGATCAGTGTGAATATGTTGCTACTGGTGTACTAAATCTAAATCGACACATTGAAACAAAACATGAAAGAGTGAGATATCCTTGTTCTCATTGTGAATACGCTGCCACTCAAGCATGGCATCTTAAAAAACATGTTGAATCTATACATGAAGGACTAAGATATCCATGCCATCAATGCGAGTACGTTGCCACTAAAGCAAGTACTCTGAAGATACATATTGAAAATATTCATGAAGGAGTGAGGTATCCCTGCGATCAGTGTGAATATGTCGCTACAAGTGTACAGAGTCTGAAGTTACACATTAAATCTAAACACAAAGGAGTGGGATATCCATGCGATCAATGCGAGTACGCTGCCACTACAGCCAGTAGTCTTAAGATGCATATTAAAAGTATTCATGAAGGAGTGATATATCCCTGTGATCAGTGTGAATAGCTACTAGAGGAGGTGATCTGAAGAAACACATTGAGTCTAGACATAAATGAATAAGATATATCCGTGTTGCCAGTGTATATATGCTGCAACTGACCCAAGAAGTCTTAGGAAACATACTATAAATATTCATGAAGGATTGAGATATCCCTGTCATTTAAAAACACTCAAAAAAAGAAAGTATTATCCACCAATCTAAATTTCCCAGCTCAGATTACTCTTAGATCAAATTCCTATTAGATCAAAAGGTTCATAAATCAGATTCCTAAACAGGGCTTTTAGAGCTCAAAACTTTTGAATGGAATATCCTTATTCCCGATCGCTTAATCTGAGTATCCAAAGTAAAAAATATTTAAAATAATGAAAAAACTTGCCTTTTAATGTCTAAATTTTTTTTTTTTCTACATCATATGAAATAATTTCATAAATGAGGCCCCCCTATGTTGCCTCCCAGGGGGGGAGTTCATGCACCTCGTGCGCCCCTGATCCCATCATTAAAAAATATACATATAAATGTCCTGTCCTGGTGCTCGGCTTGTCTAATTCAAATACATATTTTGATGAAGTGGGGGGGGGGGGGGCGAAAAATCTTACTCTAGGACTGAGCAGGATTGCCAATACCCTTAATCCTTATTTTTCCTGTTTAATCAATAAATTTATTAGTTAAGTCCTTTGAAACCTACACATACAAGATTACAGCTAAAAATATAGGTCATTAGACCACAATAGTCCTCTAAAGAACGTCTTATATCTATAGCTGAAGTGTACTGTAGTCTCTGTGTTATTATACTTTTATTGAAAAGATAATTGGCAGCCCATATATACTTAACTATGTTATATACTACTATATTATATACTCTGAGGCTCACATCTAATTATCTAATGGGGTGCTTGTGGGTCGGGTTGCTAGTTTTTTCTAAGGTCATTTGGGGGGCAAAGGAGCCCCTATCGTTGTAAATAAATAAATTGAGAAGATAATTGTTAGCCCATATATACACAACTATATTAGACTAGGCTTTTAGGGCGCTTCATGTTCATATTCTTTTTAACTTTCAATTATTACTGGGCTCTATCGTTTATAGAAAAATATAAAACCATTGCAAGATAAGTTCGTGGATTTTATCAAATTCTAAGCATCCATAAACCTTTCCTGGGGTCATGTGAGGTTAGACGTTTGTTTTGATACAAACAAACAAACAAGTAGGCCGTCAAGCTAAATATAGTCATTTATTTAGCTTTGAAATATAACTATTGTACAATGTACATATTTCAGAGAGAATGGCAGAAATTATGGAAGAAGATAAAGTTACCATTAAAGAAGAAGTCTCTACTGTAGAGGATACATTTACTGTATTTGTAGTGGGAGAAGATGTAAAAGAGGAATATACAGAAATCAAGGTATGGGTATACATTATATACATATATTATTTTAGGATAATCAATTTTTGCCTTTTTTTTAGAACTTTGGGCTCATAAATCAAAAAAATATAATATCACAATTAACTTTATTTACAGATTTTATTAAAAAATTTTAAACCATGTGAGATACTTTAGGTTAGTTTAATATTTTATTAATTCTCTTCTTGAATTTTTCAGGTGAAATTGTTAAGATTGAAGAAGATCCCCTTTTCTCTGAACAAAAGAGACTAAAAAAGAAGAAGCTGGCAGATATAAGAGATATCAGTTATCCCTGTAGAAAATATGATTATGTGGCAACTCAATCAGGTCATTTGAAGACACATATTCGAAGTAGACATGAAGGAGTTAAATATCCTTGTTCTCATTGTGAATACGCTGCCACTACAGCAGGTGATTTGAAGAGACATATTAAAAATAAGCATGAAGGAGTGAGATATCCTTGCGATCAATTCAAATATGCTGCAACTGAACCATGTAGTCTGAAGAAACATATAGAAAATAAGCATGAAGGAGTAAGGTATCCCTGTAATCAGTGTGAATACACTGCAACTGGTGTACAGCGTCTGGAGTTACACATTAAATCTAAACATGAAGGAGTAAGATATCCTTGCAACCAATGTGAATACGCTGCAACTGAAAAAAAATATCTAAAGATTCATATAAAAAATAAACATGAAGGAGTGAGATATCCTTGCAATCAATGTGATTACTTTGCTACTGGTGTACAGAGTCTAAAGTTACACATTGAATCTAAACACGAAGGAGTTAGGTA